TAAGTTCAAGACAGGCCTGGATACAAAGTGAGCTAAAGGCCAGCCTGAACTGCGTAGTGAGACCTTGTCTCAAAAGGACAAAAAAAAAAAAAGTCACTTAGTTCATACAACACTATAGATTATTTCAGCAACATGAGCAGATCTTTTGAAAATAGGGAAAATGGGAGACAAATACACTTTTAAAATTAAAACTATTACTCAATTGTCTCTGACTTCATCTTTTCCATACCATTGCATGCCTGTTGATTGTCTCTCATGAAAGAGAAGCAGCGTAGAAACTAACAGTATGCACACAGCCCACCTGTCCCAGGGCTTTCCAACTCCTATCAGATTAGTAAACCATGACCACGTCCGTTTTTCTTTGCTCTGATATCCTCCAAGTCCTCTTTTCAAACTTGAGCATTTTAGTTCTGTTCTCAAGAGAAACATGAATTCCCATCTGTAGGACACATATGGTTCCACTGTCCCTCCTCCATAAATTTCTTTCCAGGTCAACATGATAAACTAAAGCCAGAAAAATGACTGCGTTTTAATCCTGTGTGTTCAGAATATCCATGAGCTCAGCTGAGATTAGTGAGCCTCGGACTACAATCAGACCTCCAAAACCTTGTCTTTGCTCTTCACTAGCCCATTAAAACTCCATTGTTTTAATTTCATGTATTTCCTCCAATCTTGGAGAAATAAGCCAAAGGCCACAGTGAAATAACAGCTCAGGCAGAATTACCTTGAAGAAAGCCATCATTTGCTGCCTCAGTAGGACTGCCATCTAATGCTTTTGATATAAAGCATTTGTCCTCTTCAATGAGATAAGAAAGGTCTAGTTCTGCTTTCTAGTCTATTAAGAAACAAGTGTTGACTTTTGTTGTTGAGAGCCAGAAGTCTCATGTTACCTGGCTGCAAGCTGCTGCCTACTTCGGTGAACATGCTAGAAATTTTATCAGCTGTCTTCAATAAAAGACAATGTATGTAGGTGAAGATAGCACTAGTTGTGCATGGATTTCTCTTCCCCAGCCCATTACAGCTAGCAGACAGCAATCACACTAGGACATAACAGCCACCTGAAATTCTTGCATTCAGTTATATGGCCAGATAGTCTTCAAATCTGTTCAGAAACCCTTTACATGGTCTTATTTCCGTACCCTCTTCTTCTGTCTAATGACATTTAATCACTGACAGCTTCTGTTAATAAAATTTTGCTTGAATACTTACTGAATTAAATAATTGCATAACCAGCAAAAGACTTCTTCTTTACAAGGGGATAGATATTTGATCTGACATACTTTTTTTCTTCAAGGTACAACCCCTTATAGGAAATTTCATTGCAAGAGCTGTAAAATGATATAATCTTTGATCTACAAGTGACCTTTACAACAGTGCTTCTCAAATTTTAATGAGCATGCAAAACACCTAGGGATCTTGTTAAAATTCACATTCTGATTCAGTAGGTGGGGCCTGGAATTCTGCATTTCTGCCTGGTACCTGAATGATACCCATGGTGCTCTGAATTCAAGGTTGTGTGTCTAGGCTAGCAGACCTGAAGGCATTTGGCCCCGTAAGCATCTAAGGACCCCTGAGCCACTGCAGTGTAGGAAAGACATGACAGCCTTATTAAAATGCAAAGCCCCTGGCCTTGAAGAGACAAAATGATATGCATTCTTTCCCTTATAGGTGTTTAACAATCACTTGAGATGTTTATGTCAAAATAACTTTCAAACCCCTTACCTAGCTCAGTGATACTGATTTAGCTCACATTTTAGCAGAACTGTTGGTGAATTTTATCAGTTTAAAATCATTTAAATAAGGTGCTAGAATAATGTTTTAAGCATTGTATAATGCAAATTTTTAGAATTTTAAAATAAAAATTCTATCAATGTACACATTTATGTTCATACTAAAATATTGTACCTGAATCTAAAATGTGTATTGGCTTAAAAATATGAAAGCATGTTTTTAAATATGCTCACTTTTAATATTATTTTAGGGAGGGCAGTTAGTGAGTATATGTGAGCTTCCTTGTGATCCTTTATCTCCATTATCTTCACAATACTGATTTTTGATATTTTTTTGTTTAATAAGTAGCATGCTATTGTGGATAATGCAATACTAGAACTATTACAAAATCCCAATTACCATTAGTGTTCAGAATTCATTCATCAGAACCACAAGTTTAACTTCCTAACTGTGTTTTCATAGAATAATATTAAAATATTAAAATTTTATTCAGTCATGGGATGGCAGGAGGGTACCTCTCAAGGACAGAGGAATCTCAGGCTGCAATTTAACAAACAAATGGTGAAGTGTATTTATGTGGCCAGGTTGGCACACTTCACCACCTGTTTTCATAGCCATCATTTATAGACTTGGCTAATGAAACCTAGGAAGCTGGCAAAGACAGCGCCAGTTACAGTGCTCAGCATCTGGCATCAGTGGTGTTCCGGCACACTCACGAGAAGATTCTGGTTTGTATATTCAAAATGATGAAAAAGAGTAAAGCAAAAGGGAAAAGTCAATTTTGTGTTTTATTCTCATATGATCCCACAGCCACCCTATGAAGCAAGGACTGTTGTTACTATTTGTAAAAGAAACTGAAATCGAAATCGTTCACTCACTTGTTCAAGTGCGCACTTCTCAGTGGTAGCTGTGGTTTGGACCTTAGTGTAACCTTTGACTAGTTTTGATGAGCACTTTGCTTAGGTACAGACCCTGTAGGTAGCAAGAAATCAAGTTTAACAGAGATATCCAGTTTCTCAGCCTCATTGCTAGGCCTCTTCTACTTCTGGTTGGTACAGAATGATCATCACCAGCGGTCCTCCCTCCCTGCTTCCACTCTTCCCACTCAGGGTAGCAGGCAGTGAGCATTTTATCTACTTCGCATCTCTGTTCATTCCGGCTGTGCACACACTTTCTGTTAGTTTAATAGCTGATTATTTATATTTGTGGCAAGCACTGTGAGGAGACATAATTCAGAAATGTGTCCAGGCGTCAAGGACCTCAAGATAATCATGGTAATGTGGTATCAAAATTCTTATGAAGATGGAGTGGGCAGTGTTTTTCAGTTCCCAGTGTGGAGCTTTGCACATATAATTTAGAGCTATGTTTATTTGGATTGGTGTATAAAATTATAAACTGACCGTCTGTAGTTTTCTTGATAAGCATTGAGTCATCCTGACCAAAAGGTTTTTGAAAGTCAGGTGTAGCCTATATTTGCAGGATTAATTATGGAAGGAAAAGGCACGTTGCAACTAGCTGGTGCTTACCAGTAATCTTAGCTACTGTGAAAAAGTTTGACAAGTTCGAGGCCAGCAGGCCAGACCCTGTCTCAACAACAAAGGGATTTGGGTCTGGATTCACAGCACGACCCTGAATTTAGTCCCTGGTACAAAAAGAGAGAGAGATTGAAACTAAAAATCAATAGTTGAGAATTTAAGAAAATTTTGATATGCATGCAGAAATATATTATCTAGCCATTGAAATAAAAATTATGAAGCCTTTGCAACAACATAAGTTAGAGATACATATGCAAAATGAGACCAGGAAAAGTGACCTTGACGCCAGTAGACTGTCTCTTTTGTAGCATCCTGCTATATTGATTTGCTTATACTTTTCGTATCTTTCTGACAGCATGTAAGAAGTTGTTATTTCAATATTGCATATGTGAAAGAATTGGAGCATAAATATGTTAAAGGACTCTTCACTGAGGTCACCGCAACTGAACTACAACGCAAAGCTAGTTCTCTTAAAACTCCAAATCTGATCATGTTTTTCTTTCTCCCTTTTGCTTTATTCTAAACTATTCCACCCTGTCTTCAGCATTGTTTCACTTAAGACATAATCATTTTTACCCAGCAGAGGCAAATCTACACAATACACACAGTAAGAAAATAATAAACTGTAAAAGTAATTGATAAGTATTTTAAGCTTTTGCACAAAGTTGAAGGACAATTAATAATTGACATTATCTGTAAAATGAAAGTCAAATCTAGCATAAACATTTTTCCTTTTATCTGAAATTTTAGATACGTATTTATGGAACTGCCAAAATGCTAGATCTTCGCTGTTAGCAGGAATGGTCTAGGACAAGACAAAAACAGAACAGCCTATGTTTGTAGATAATTGTTGCCTAATGTCTAAGGATGTGGGGATGGAGACCTTTATTAAACTAGTACAACATAACTTATATTTTTAAACACTTCACAGGATAGTTTCACATTGCAGTTACAATTGATGACCAAAAATCTGTGAGAATAACTGCTTTTTAAACAACTATTATGCAACTTTTCTTATGAAGGTTACATCTTTCTTTGCCATATTTTATCTATTTTGATATTTTTACTTTAATATTTTATAAGCTGTAAACACATTGCACCACCAGTTTAATAGCTATTTATTGATAATTGTGGCAAGCACCAGGAAGTGACTTAATTCAGGTATGTACCCAAGTGCATTAATTCGAAAAAAACTAAAATGGCTCTTGTTGAAAAAGGACTTTGTCTTGCTAAAGTACTTAGGTTTGTGCTGTGTTTGAATCTTTTCAGAGTTGTTACTCTGAAATATAATTTAGTTTAATTTTTTTCTTAAAAGGGCTGTAACATTGCTAAAAGATGATACAAGGGGATTGAATGTTCATGTAATATTTATTTTTGTTTTTGAATTTTAAAAAAAAGGTTCTATTCTTTTCTATCTGAAATCGTTTCAGCTGGAACTTTTTTTTCCAAAAATTTGAGCCAAAATGAGATTACTAGTGCTTTATATATTACCTATACTTTTTCATTATAGAAAAACTCCATCTCCTACTTACTTGCCCTGTTTAAAGCACAGAGTACATATCAGGTGTTTGAAAATTACTTTTTCCTGTCTAGTTATCGTTGCTTTGTTAAATTCCTTCCAGCAACTACCGCTAGACAGAAAAAGAACTATTTGCCTAGGTGGAAGATTTGCATTTCTCTTAAAGGAAAGCTTCAAGGCTTTGTAATTGTCTTATTTCCTGTCCCCTGTTGCAGTATCCAGCTGCTCTGATGAACCTGGGAGCCATCCTGCATCTCAATGGCCGCCTGCAGAAAGCCGAGGCCAACTACCTGCGGGCCCTGCAGCTCAAACCAGATGATGTCATCACGCAGTCTAATCTCCGCAAACTGTGGAACATCATGGAAAAGCAAGGCTTAAAGACTTCCAAGACTTGACACAGGAGGGTGGAATCCTCATCCTCCTCCATTTAATAAAGCTGGCTTCATTAACAGACAAAACTTTCCAACAGTGCTGAGTTTATTTTTGATTTCAAGACCCAGACAGAGCCAGTGAGGTCACTGAGTCCACTTTGCTGTTGGCACAGCCATTAACACCAAAAAGGGGAACATTGGAAACCTCCAGGAGGATGTTCTATTACCCACAGACTGCAAACCAGAGCACTTAAATGGGGTCTTTTGGCGTTCTTAAAAGGGAGGGGCGTATCTCAATTACAGACATTTGTTTGAAAGCTAACCTTGAAACTATAATATTCCTTAAACACTGTGAGAGGAAGTCAGAGTGTCCATTCGGCCACAGTGAGCTATTGAGGCTAAGTGTCACTAGGGAGAAATGAAAACAACGTGAAACCCAGTGAGCCGCTGGTTGTCCTGATGCTGCTGTCTTCCCTCTTAGGGACAGCCTGCTTATCATTTTCTTGAGCTTAGGAAACTTCTGCTTGTTTGTTTGTTTGTTTTCTATCGTGCCAGCATCTAGCAGTTTCTCAGCTGGTATACATAATGTGTTATGATTTGAGTATCACTAGCTTCACATTTTCATACTTTACTTGCTTTTCTTGTTCTGAAAAAAAAATATAGAGAAAGGAGCAAACTCGCTCCACACTGGTGTTGGGAAAAGGGCTGCAGAGGGCTTATATGCAGGTCACAGGCATCTTTCTTTATAGTATTGTCAGTATTTACCCCCAAACTGCCTGGTAAAATTCACTGTATTAATTCTTTGGGAATTAACCTTTAAGATGGCTCTTCTTGGTCAATCTGTACAGGTAGTGCTCCAGTTCTGATAATTAATCAGTCATATTTAGGAAAGGAATATTGTGATTCCCAGATTTTGCTGGTTAAAAAAATCAAGACTAAGGAAAGGAATATATAATCATGATTGTCTCTGATTTTGTGTTTTGCAAAGAGTTGGTATAAAATCTTAACCAAATTCTAGTAGGCACCTGAACAACAGTGCAAATAAATTTTCAAAAAATTATTTTTATCTCATTTTGCTCTTCATGAAAGATGTCAAAAATGACTTATTTTTTCTTCATGAAAGATGTCAAAAATGACTTATTTTAACCTGCAATAGATAAGATTAGCCTGTGTGTGACTAAGTCTTCTACCAATTGCTTTTCTTAGTTGAAAAACTGCTTTTCACTAGTAACTTGGATATTTTCTTTTATTATTTGTTATTAACCACTTCAGTGATCTTTCATGACAAAAAAAAAAAAAGACCATTTAAATGAAGTAGAGAAAAACATGTATTCAACACTTTGGGCTCGCAGACAAACTTTACTACTAAAAATTAATCTCATGAAACACCGGTCTATTATCAGCCTTTTCACAGAGAAATTAGCTTTACTATACCCTACCTATTTATTTATTTATTATTCTACCATAGCAGAATAACATGAACTAATGAATTTGATTCATTAATCCAGTTCTTTGCAATTGAAAATTAGCTTTTTCTCCTCGCCTTTCACTCTCCATGTATATATGGTCACTGTTTCCATTAAAGGGAAGCTGAACATACAAATACATTATGTTACGTTTTTTCCCATTTTATATGTCTATATATCTGAGTATGGAGGATAAAGAATTTAAAGTAGTGTTCCTATGGCATTGATGTCTTCGTGAGAAAGGTAAATGTAGTGAGAGAGATTTTTTTGATGGCATTAATATGAAGGCCCTTCTGTAATATGTATATTATTTTGTAAACATTTACGTCGAAGGGCCAGAAGTTAAATTATAACTAAATCACTGTGTGTTCAGAATGATATTTAACATTTAACAACAACAAATCCACGGTCAAACCAAAATAGTGGGTTGAGTGTATTTTTCATCTTTTAGTGCATTGGCAATTACGAAAAATGGAAAAGGGATTTAATATAAGGCTATAAAAATAAATTGATTGTCTAACGTTTTATTTATTAAATAGTTATGACTTGTGATGACTTCCTAGTCTTAACATTTTATGTCTTTTTATTGTAATATTCTTATTTCCAACGCTTGTTTCTTAGTAGGTTCACTGAATGCACAGTTGAGACACTTCATGTGACTCAGTTCCCAAGTAGCATTCATATTGGGCCTGGGTCATTAAAAAAAAATGCATGGAGTTTAATAACTAAATGTCCCCGACACTTTTCACTACAGGGCTGGACTTATTAACTGACCAACTCGGGGGTGGGGGGTGGTTGGGGGGGCATTAGGACGTGATCAAAAAAATGTCTCCGCTCAGGGATTTATGGTGGATTATTGCAGACAGTGCTAAAAATATAGAGCACAAGACAAGTTTACTAAATTGAAATTTTATTTTTTGAGAAACTGTTATTTGTATAAATTATCAAGATTTGTAGGCTTTCCTTTTGTAGAAATGATTGTTTTATGTGCCAGAGAATTTCAATTTTGTTTTCAACAATAAAGCATTGATAACAAATATGTTGCGTCAGCTTCTTGTTAAATCTTCAACAGCAGCAGCATTTAAACTCTGAGATTTTAACAGAATCAAGAGAAAAGTTGAAAAGAGTAGAGACTAAACATCAGATAGAGATATATTTTGATGAATAATAATTTTTGGTAGTGAAATAAAGTGTGCCTGTATCACCACATTTCCCATGTTCAAAAGGATGAAAAAGTTCTGTTTCCTTTGATGACTGAGCTATGGAAAAAAGTTCTAGGAACTGTTCCAAGGAGGGCATAATTGCCAGTTCCCTGCCTAAAAGTAGGTCATTTGATAAAAATGGCTGTAGTTAGAAGACCCTGATTCTCTAATTCTGGTCTTAGTTAAAAGCACAGTATTCTTCTAAGAAATGTGGGTGTAACACATGTAGGAGTTGATAATAAAGGAATCTAGAGTTTTAGACAAGTTGCAAACTAACAAGAAAATTCTAATCTTGTAAAACTTGTTGTTCTATAACATGGCTATATATATTGCATATTTTCTTTAGTGTGGGTTAAAATTTAGCCCTGAAGATTTCATAGTAAGTTAACTATCCTGTGACTGTATGAGGTTATATTTCAGTTTTATAGGTGAGAAAATCAGGATACAATGGTATGGAATAGTTTGCCCAGTATCACTAATTTCATATGCAGCAGGCCTGTCCACAGTGTGTCCAGGATTCGTGGTTCCGTGTGAAACTGGCTCTCAGACAGTTTACCAGAAGGCTGCAAATCAGACTTCTCAACTTACGATTGTCCTAACCTGATCATCTGCCACAAAATCACATTGTTTAACCCACTTGACATGGATGATCATGAAGAGTGAAACAAGCAGTTCATGAAAAACAGAAAAATTGAAATGGTGAGACCCGTACAAAATTTCAGGGATTGTGAAGCTAAACCATTTACTTTCCATTGGAGGACTGTAAGGACAAGTTAAGTGAGTTAACCAAGATCCCAAAACTAGCTAGTTAGTGGTGGTCAAAAGACTATAAAAATCTCAGTTGTTAAGAGATGTATCTATATAGTAATTGCATAGTTGATTGTATTTTTAAGTCAAGGTGTTATTTAAACTTGCATTGAAATACTATACTTTAAAATTGATGGAGTTTTGGCATTGTTTCTGCATTCTGCTACATCACTGCTAAGTAAAAAAAAACTGTAAAATAGACTACAAGTGAAAATTCTATCACCCAACTACTTGCTGTTTTTTAAAAATCACTATAAAAAAGTTAAGATGTGGAGAGTTTGTGGCTGTCCACTTGACATTTTCATTGGTATGATAAGAGTTTTCACCTACTATGCTTCTAGTGAAAACAAAGGGTACTCATCTAAGTCTTGAATACTCACTCTAACACTAGGAAAGAAACTTGGTTTCTATGGAAATGTAAGTTATAATAATTCTAGCTCATTGTGTGCATCTTCAGAATATGATTTTCACTTAATTTAAATAATATATTTAGTACTATAACATTTGTTTCCTATCATTTAAAACTGGAGCTGGGAATTTAGCTCAAAGCTTAAGTGCCTGCCCAGTCAGTGTGAGGTTTGTGAGTTTAATCCCTAGTACCAAAAAGGAAAAAAAAAAAAAAATTTTTTTTAAAAATTGATTTCTCCTTTAGAATTACTATATGCTTAGGAGAGCAGAACTGCATGGCAACAGTTTTGCTACCTTAGGCTTAGTTTTCTATGGAAAAGATGCTTGTGTAATAGGACTTCATCTTCTGTGTCATTTTGGGTGGTCTTCCCACAAGATTCAACCAGAGAGGCCTTTGAGCCAGCTTTCATCTGGTCTGCCAGTTCGCCTGGCGTTGACCTTTTGTTGTTTCATAAATGTTTCAGATGTGTTTTCCCCCCTGGATATTGCTGGGATTTAAATTTTGTTGTTAATTTAAAATTCCTGTGAAGTTTTTCCTGACCCTTTCTTCCAACTTCTTACTGCTGATCTCTGATATTACTGTGCTAAGATCACTAAGTGAATGACTCTTGTTTAGCAAGAAGTTTTTGAACAAATAAGAGTTTCACAAATCTATGAGAAACTGGAGGTCAGATAAGTTGGAATACTGTAGAAATCTAAGAAATTAGTTAGGGAAATATCTAAATGTTGTTTGAGAAAAGTTTCTGGAGATTCAACAAAGGAGGAAAGTCGGGTGGAAAAAAATGTAGACTCATTGGGGGAGGATGTTAATTGTCATAAATCTTAATTAAGACTCTAAGGTAGACATAGGAGATTCAATTAGAAGAGTTTGGGACTATCTGTGTTCCTTTTGGTTAATGAATAATCTACCAAGTTTGGGTCACTGTATTAGAGGGAAAATGTGTAACTAATAAGTGAATAATACAACCATAGGCAAGGCTAAAAAGTGTTCAGCCAGTGTGAAGGCTGGCCTAGAAATGTCCATCTGCTCTGATGAGAAAAAAAACTTTTTCTTCTACTTCCTTTCAAAAGATACATCGCTCAGTGGAGATTAAAACTATGAGCCATTCTTCAGTCACGTGGACAGAAAAGAACTCTATAATTCCAGACTTCTGGAAATACTTTTTCTCATAAGTTCCCATTGTGTCCATTTATTTTCCATCCTAGAAAATTCAAAATGAAATAACTCCTCAAATACCTTTCTTTTGGTAATATCATTGAGCAGCTGACGACTGTATGAAAGTTTTCAAAAATGTATTGAGGAAGAAATCAAGCAATTTATTTCCAAAAGACTTAAAATATCATAAAGCAATTAAGGTATATTTTCTTGGCAGCTGAACGCACTCATATAATGTAAAAGGTAATACACAACCAGAAAATCAAAACTGGTGAAAGAAGAATGAACAGGAGGAGGAGTCAATCATTACTTTTAAAGTACATCCTTTTTCTAATATTTCACAAATGATGGGGACATTAACTGTTGGGAGCCTGCCATATTACCCATGAGAATATAGCCACAAGATGGCGTCCGCCTACCGCCTCGCTGCTCCCCCGCCCATCATGTGCCCAAGATGGCGCACACATCCTGCTTCCTGGTTCTTGCTCGGCTTACTGTCCCCGCCATATATGGTAATGATTGATTGCTTCCTTGTTGCCGCCCAATCGCCTGTCCCCACGTGTAATCCCATGATTGGATAACATTAGCTATATAAGCCCAAGTATAGGAAGTGCCCGACGCACAACACGTAGGAAGCCGTCAAGGATGGACGTGTATTGAGGTTGTAGCCCAGTCAATAAAGGAGCCTGCAGAGACAAAGTGTTCGTGTGCCTCATTCTGCAGGACAGACGCGGCGCCGGACAGCTGGTGACCCGTACAGGGACTTGAAACCATTCCCGTGCCTTCTGCGGCTCCTGTGACTGTGTTGAAAAACGGTACGTACCTGCGGGTGAGCGGCGGCTTAACCCGGCCCTTGGTGGACGCACTTTAAGGGATCTACTGGTCGACCCCTTGCGGGGATCGACATTGCCCGAAAAAGAAGGGCAGGCCTCTGTTGGCTATTGCGCCTCGGGGCTCTTTAATTTTGTTAAGATGGGCAATGTTAACTGCGGCCCCCTCGCCTTATCGCTGTGGTTGTTGCTTAAGGCGCGAGGGATTAGGATAGATAAGCAAACGGTGCTACAGTTTTTCGAATGTATCGATGGTTTGGCCCCATGGTTTCTGCCCACCGGATCCCTCACTTTCCCTCCTGGGAGAAGTTAGGATGTGATATTCAGTTTGCTGAGGAACAAGGGATGGGTGTCGACCCTATGGTCCGCCCCATATGGGAGATGGTTCGGGCATGTCTTAAAGCCGAAAGCATGGTAGGCGCAGCTCAAGGGCTTAAGGAGACGCGCCATGCTTTCGAGCGGGCGCGCTCAGAGAGTTCCAGAGGGGCCTCTGAGGCTGGTTCACCGGATCGCTCCTCAGATTCGGAAGGGGAGGGCCCTCTGACAGGCCCAAAAGGGGAAGACGGCGGCAAGACATGCTCGCGCCATGATACAGGACAGGAGACTAATAAGCCCTCTAGAACCTTATGTAAAGGGTTGATGGAGAGCTTAGAGGAAGAGCTTGAGAGAGTGGAGAATGATATACAGGAAGTACATACCCCAGGCGGGACAAGACCAACTCCGTCTGCCCCTCCCTGGGAGCCACCCCAGGAAATGAGCGCACCTGGAGGCTGGGGGCCGCCCCCTCCCTTCCCTGCCATACTTCCGTCCTCCGGACGCCGCTCGTTTCATGGTCGCTTGTGGGACGTCCTGCGTAGGGGCCTTGCCTCATATGACATCCCCGGTTTCTATCCGGTCTTTCAAGACCAGGCCGGCGCACCTTATTATCAGGCCCTGGACATGAAAGTGGTTAAGGGATTAAAAGAGGCAGTTTCTACCTATGGCCCCAACGCTCCGTTCACACAGGCTCTTTTGGATAATATAGGAACCACCCCTTTGACACCCTCGGATTGGGCACAGCTTGCAAAGGCATGCCTGTCTCCAGGCCAATTCATGGACTGGAAAGCTTGGAACGACGAGTGTTGTGGGGAGCAAGCCGAAAAGAATGCTAGGGAGCACAATGCTAGATGGAACAAGGATATGCTATTAGGTCAGGGAGCCCATGCGCAAGATCAAATCCAGCACCCTCAGGCAGTTTATGATCAAATTACCAAGTGCGCTATTGCCGCTTGGAAACAGCTTGCCAAGCCAGGCGAACATACCGCCTGTCTTACTAAGATTGTGCAAGGGATGACAGAGCCATTCTCTGACTTTGTGGCCAGGATGCTAGATGCCGCCGGCAAGGTCTTCCCTGACCTCAGTGTGGCGCAGCCCCTGGTAAAGCAGCTAGTCTTTGAGCAGTGTACTAAGGACTGCCGTGCAGTCATTACACCACATAAAAACAAGAGTTTAGAAACCTGGACCAAATTATGTAGAGAAGTGGGGGGACCACTCTCTAATTCAGGTCTTGCAGCCCTGGTGGGCGCTTCAATTAATGCGGCCCTCGGCTCCCGCCCTCCAGCAACACAACAGCAGATGCAAAAGAGTAAAAAATG